TTTATTTATTTATTTATTTATTTGTTTGTTTGTTTGTTTATTTGTTTGTTTATTTGTTTATTTGTTTATTTATTTATTTATTTTTATTTTATTTTTTTTAATTATTATTTTTTAATTATTTTTTTTTATTTCGGCTTTCTTGAGATGGTTTAAGAAAAATGCTAAAGTAAAAAGAGCAAATTGAAAATATCTACAAATCAAGATTAAATGCAAGACAATTAGAATGTAAATGAAGGAAAAAATAGATCAATTAAAGACTTAAAAGGCTAAGTTAGAGGAAATTACAAAATCTCCAAAACCTTCACCAATTTAAATGTACATAAATTACAAGGAAACATAAAGTACTTAAAAAGCGGATTCAAGAAAAACGCAAAATTATGGAAATGCTTAATCAAATAATCTCAAATAGAAAAAGCGGGGAGAAAATAATCATATAGAAAGGGGAAAAATTAGAGGAAATTAAAGTTCAGGGAAATGAAAATTAAAAGTATGTCGAAAAGTCTCCACTGATGGTCATATCAAAATGAATACATATTTGTCTTCTTTTTGATTTAATTATTTATTGTATTTACTTTTGCTTTTTATATAACCTAATTTTGCATTTCCTTACTATTGCATTGTTAACTGGACATTTATTTACTTTATTTACACTTCTGCTTTTTGCCTGATTTACTTTGTTCATCTTTTGTTAATTTTCTCTTTTTCCATTTCCTTCGCTATCTCACATCTCCTAAGATTTAACCACATTCGCGCAAACAGTCTATAAATTATGCTAATTTCCTTTATTCAGTGTTTCTCGCTTTTTGTGTAAATGAAAAATACACCCATACACATCGCGTCCTCTTGCCGACTAAGCCTAAGCGATCGATTCTATGTAAATCTGAATTGGCCGAACGGATGCGGAGGCTCAATCGATTGCAAGAAAGGAATTGTTGGCGAAATTGATGAAAGCATAGAAGACATTGTGGAGATAACATTATCTTTTCCTCTTTTATAATCAGGCTTTCGATATTACCAGTTTTTATTTATAGCAAATAGATCATTTCAGTCTATTTCGTTGAGTCTAACGACGGAGGCATAGTTGAAGTTGTTCCCAATCCTGCGATTGTGCTTCCTGTTGCTACCGCATTTCAGTCTACTTGTTTCTCAAAAGATCTTCTCCTCTCGACCAGACACGACTGCAGTCTCCGCCTCACCTCAGCTGGCCTCATCAGCGCGCCCGGCGAGACTCGAACCCGGAAACGAATAGTCTCGACACGTCAACCATTCCACCAGAACTTGTCTTTTCTTCTTGTGAATGCCGTTGTTGCATAAGATCTACTGGCAGTTTCGAAAACTGATTTGCCAACGAAAACGAAGAATTAAGGAAACCTTTGAGGTTGGGAAAATTCAACCGACGAAATAGCATGAACTCCGGTTTTATGATATTATCGGTCATTTGGGCTGACTGGGTGACTAGACAAGGAAAAGTGAAGTTTTTTGATTGGCAGATTCATCTATTCTCCTGTGACAAGAATTGATTATGTAGAAAAAAGTCATTGTTCAGTTGACCGAATAAATTATCCAACTGAATAAATTAGCCAACTGAATGAATGATTAAATGATAGATGTATTG